TTTAAATTCGGATTTCAAACGAATTATAAATAAGTCATATTTGACAAATCAGCAACTCGAGATCAATATTTCAATTTTTTTGTTAATTTTTAGAAAATTTTTCCATTTTTTCAATAGTTCCATCTAATGAAAATTTCGACATTTTTTCGAAAATTACCTGAAGAGATTTTTTTATAAATTTTGATCTCTAGAAGTTATTTTCGGCATCATTTCTTCAAAAATTTCTTCTTTTCTCCCGGAATCGTTTATATGAAATATGACAAATTTTATTATTGTAAAAAAAATTGACTTGAAAATGGAATATTTCGAAAATCTTACTCCGTATTACAAACACGTTATACTTTTCGAATTAGCACGTCGAAATCTATATCCCGGAATTTTTTGTGAAATTTTAGGCAACTTTTCCAATAGCTCAATAACTTTTGCATACTTTTTCTTTATAAAATTTTCGACCTGCTTTCGACTACCTACGAAATTTATGTAAAGATATTTTTCTGTAGATTTCAACCTCCGGAAGTTATTTTCGGGTTTATTTCTTCGGAAATTCTTACCATTTTTTCGAAATCGCCCACTGAATTATAGTAATTTTTAGGATTTTTAAAAAATTGGATTTCAAATCAAATATTTTGAAAATTTTGCTTCAGAACTATAAGTACGCTATATTGTTTAAATCAGCCCCGTCGAGCTCTATATCTCAGAATTTTTGGTTGATTTTTAGACAATTTTTACAAAATCTCATTTTTTCAATGGCCCAATGAAAATTTCGACTTTTCGATCATTTTTCGAAAATTACCTGAAAATATTTTTTGTAGATTTCGACTAAGTTATTTTCGGCTTCGTCTCTTTGAAAATTTCTACCTTTCTTGGAAATTCATTCATGTAAAATATGGCAAATTTTATGATTTACAAAAAATTGACTTGAAAATGGAATATTTCGAAAATCTGGCTGCTAAATTTTTCAATTAGTACATTCAGATCTACGTCCAAGAATTTTTCGTGAATTTTTAACTAACTTAAAAATTATTTTCGGGTTAATATTTTTGTAACGCCACCTGAAGTATAGTAATTTTCAGGATTTTTTAAAAAATTTGTATTTCAGATCAAATATTTTAAAAATTTTACTTCAGAACTATAAATACGTTATATTTTGCAAATCAGCACGTCAAGTTCTATCTCCCAGAATTTTTTGTTAATGTTTAAATAAGCTTAATGTCTCCATAAGCTTAATCTTTCAATACTCTTTGTCTAATAAAAAATTTGACATTTTGCGACAATTTTTCGAAAATTACTTGAAAATATTTTTTGTAGATTTCGACCTCTAAAAGTTATTTTCGGCTTGATTTCTTCGAAAATTTCTATCGTTTCTTCCAGAATCGCCAATATGAAATGTGGCAAGTTTTGCGATTAAAAATAAAATTTAACTTGAAAACGGAAGTATTTCAAAAATCTTGTTCGGGCATCATAAACAGACTATATTTTTCGAATGAGCACGTCAAGATCTATGTCCCAGATTTTTTTGTGAATTTTTGAACAACTTTTCCAGGAAGTCAATTTTTGAATATTTCCCTTTATAAAATTTTCGATCTGTTTTGGACCATCTGCCAAATTTACCGAACGATATTTTTTGTAGATTTAGACGTCCGGAAATTATTTTCGGGTTCATTTCTTCGAAAATTTCTATTATTTTTTTGGAATCGTCCACTGAAATATGGTAACTTTCAATTTTAAATATTTCGATTTGAAACCACATATTTTAAAAATTTTGCGTGGAAGGTATAAATACGCTATATTTTCCAAATCAGTACGTCGAGATCTATTTCCCAGAATTGTTCGTTAATTTTTAGACAATTTTTTCATAAGTTCAATTTTTCATTAGCACTCTAATGAAAATTTTGACATTTTCACCATTTTTCGAAAATTACATCAATATTTTTTGTAGATTTCGACCTCTAAAAGTTATTTTCGGCTTGAATTTTTCGAAAATTTCTACAGTTTTTTCGGAATCGTCTACTGAAATATGGTAATTTTCAAATTTAAAAATTTCGATTTCAAATCACATATTTAAAAAAAAATGTTTCAGAAACTACGATCAGCACGTTGAGATCTATCTCCCAGAATTTTTTGTTAATTTTTAGACAATTTTTTCATAAGCTCAATTTTTCAATAGTAGTATCTCTAATGAAAATTTTGAGATTTTTCGACCATTTTTCGAAAATTACCTGAGAGTATTTATTGTAGATTTCGACCTCTAAAACCTATTTTCGGGTATATTTCTTGGAAAATTTCTACCGATTTTTCCAGAATCGTCCATATGAAGTTTGGCGAGTTTTACAATAAAAAAAAATTGATTTGAAAACCGAATATTTCAAAAATTTTGTTCCGACATCATATAAAGGCTATATTTTTTCAATCAGCACGTCAAGATCCATATTCCAGAATTTTTTGTGAATCTTTGGACAACTTTTCCATAAGCGCAATTTTTCGATACTTCGTATTAAAAATTTTCGATCTGTTTTGGACCATCGGCGAAATTTACTGAACGATATTTTTTGTAGATATAGACGTCCGGAAATTATTTTCGGGTTCATTTCTTCGAAAATGTCTACTATTTTTTTCAAATCGTCCACTGAAATATGCTAACTTTCAGTTTTAAAAATTTCGATGTCAAACCAAGTATTTTAAAAATTTTGTTTCAGAACTACAACCATGGTATATATTTCCGAACGGCATGTTGAGATCTATCTCCCAGAATTTTTTGTTAATTGTTAGACAATTTTTTCATAAGCTCAATCCTGTAATAGCCTCTCTTATGAAAATTTTGACATTTTCGACAATTTTTCGAAAATTACCTCAATAATTTTTTGTACATTTCGACCTCTAAAAGTTATTTTCGCCTTGTCTTCTTCAAAAATTTCTACCATTTTTTTCGGAATCGTCTACTGAAACATGGTAATTTTCAAATTTAAAAATTTCGATTTCAAATCAAATATTTTAAAAAATTTGTTTCAGAACTACAACAATGGTATATATTTCCGAACGGCATGTTGAGATTTATCTCCCAGAATTTTTTGTTAATTTTTTAGACAATTTTTTCCTAAGCTCAATTTTTCAATAGTCTCTAATGAAAATTTTGAGATTTTTCGACCATTTTTCGAAAACTATCTGAGTATATTTTTTGTATATTTCGACTTCTAAAACCCATTTTCGGGTATATGTCTTCAAAAATTTCTTCCGACTTTTCCAGAATCGCCCATATGAAAATGTGGCAAGTTTAACGATAAAAAAATTGGTTTTAAAATGGAATATTTCAAAAATATTGTACCGACACCATATACAGGCTGTATTTCTCGAATCAGCACGCCAAGATCCATATCCCATATTTTTTTGGCGAATTTTTGAACAACTTTTCCAGAAGCTCAATTTTTCAATACTTCGTATTATAAAATTTTTGATCTGTTTTGGACCATTGGCGAAATTTACCTAACGATATTTTTTGTAGATTTTGACGTCCGGAAATTATTTTCGGGTTTATTTTTTCGAAAATTTCTACTATTTTTTCGGAATCATCCATTGAAATATGGTAATTTTTAATTTTAAAAATTTCGATTTCAAACCAAATATTTTAAAAAATTTGCTTCGGAACCATAAATAAAATTTTGACATTTTTCAATCATTTTTAGAAAATTACCTAAACATATTTTTAATGACGTAAGGTGCCTTAATCAAAATTTATGTATTCATTTTCTTTAAAAAACTGGTGACGTCATTTCAAACTATCTGTTACACAGATTCATACGAAATGTTCTTTACCGTGACAACGTGAATAAAATGTTACATTGGACACTATTTCTCCAGAAATTGAAATAATTATGTACTTTGATTTTAAGTTCCTTAATATCTTGTAAACTTGTAAACTTTCAAAATATCGTTTAAATTATGTCACATAACAGTAATAAATTTTCTCAATTACGTGCTTTTCATATCCGCAATAAATCTGTCGTATAATTTTAGAAATGGAAAATCTGTCAATTCCTTTTATTTGACATTTAGAAAATAAAATTTACAAATAAATATTTAATTCTCTAATTTTGGTTTAATGGTCTACTTTTATTTTTAACTTGATATAACTATGTAGATTGTCCAATGAGAAAAGTTTAATCTTCAAATTTTCTAGTCAGGGTATTTAGCTGAAATTTTTATTATTAATAATAATAATTAATAATATCAAAATTACAGGTTATCGATTTTCCAGCCGAATTAGCTAGCAGATTTATAAAAAAAGGATAATTTAATGAGTCTTGACACGACCACGACCATATGGTTCGTGGTCAAGACCCATTGTTCGTTTATGGGGTGCAAGTCATCCTCGAACCCCACATGTGACAACAACTTCACTTCCGCCAGTTGTATTTGGTCTATAGTCGATGTTCACACACCCTCTAACACAAGAATGACAGCCTATATGTAATTGGTAAAAAACACTCAACACTGAATTGGGGAACAACTACCACTAATGATGGTTTTAGATTCCCGTATTTTTAGAAGTAGGAAAATAGATTAGCTAGATGTGCATTGTGGAATGTCTTGAGGGTTCTGGTTGACGGTTTAACGTGCTTTAATTCGAAAACAATACGTCTTTCAGACAGAATGAGACAATTAAGGTAAATTTTATTGAATTTTGATAAAAAAATTTCAAAAAATTTGTTCGACGTAACAAAATCGTTAGCACATGACACTCAGGCGACGGACAAACACTAGCGACAGAAAGACGGATAAGCGAGACCCGATTTTCATGTTTTACATAATAAATCATAAAATTATCAAAAAGACACTTTTGCAATACATATTTCAGCTATCATTTCAGAAGAGTTTACGAAAAGATTCCCAACAAATTTTCTTTACTTTAGTAAATTCAGGTGCGTTAAAAATCCACGAAGTCACTCACTTCAGCGCCCAGACGCAACAATCAACACAAAAATAAGATTCCGAAATCCACTCACCCTCTCTCGAATCTCACAGCACCTCACTTATCAGCGTCGGTGTCGCGTGAGCGTCGCGACGACAACAAGCAAAGACCACGTGCTGGCTCAGTGACAGCACGGCACGCAATGAGGGGCGCTAAATGTGATAATAATGACGAGGGTGGGGCGGCGTGCACGTGGGGCGGTTTCCACAGGTGACAGCACCCTTTGCGACACCCACACCGCCGCGTTTTTCAATTGTCATTCGTTGCTACGTGACCGTCATTCGCTGACACACTGCCAAAAAACTTGTTTACTGTGGTTTTTTCGCGTCAAAGATAAAGTCGGTGGTGATTTTTTGGTTTGAAATATGGGGGAAATGTTTCGTCAAAATCGGGGCTTCGTCGTCATTTCGGTTGATGGCTGTTATTTCTCATTTTAGATGGTGTTCTTTTTCTTTTTTCTCTACTTCGTTCATTGGTTTTTCCTTTTTTTAGAGTTCGTCAATCGTTGAAACATTGTTAACGAAAAGTGTTTATTGAGGTTTTTTTTTCACAAAGTTGCATTGCTTTTAACAAACGTCAGTTTTATTTGTGTTTTAAATATGAGTTGCAATGTTTAGTCAAGATACTTTTTTCTTCATCATCTTGTCTTATGTCATATGTTCCGAATGTTCATTACCGAAAGATCAATATAATCTTCTGATTTGAATTTCGTTCTTCGTACTAATGTCAAAATTTTATTATTTTCACTCTTTTTTCGATCAGATTTCGTCATTCTCTGAGACACTGTGTGAAAAATCGTTTACTAAGGATTTTTTACAAAGTGTCCTTGCTTTTACAAGCATCAATGTAAATTTCCTGTTTTGAAATATGAGTTGATATGTTTCGTCAAAATCATTTCTTCTTCTTCATCTTGCTTTATACATCTTTTGTTTTGTATTTTAAATCTTATTCTTTTCCTTTTTTTCTCTTCTTCAGATGCTTCCATTGCCTAAAGATCAACAAAATTATCTTCTCAGTTGAATTTCGTTTTTCGTCCTAATGTCAAAATCTTATTTCTCCTGTTTTTAGATCAAATTCGTTATTCCTCTTAGATATCGTGAGAAAAAATTGTTTATTGAAAACTTTTTCACAAAGTTTCCATGCTTTTACAAGCCTCAGTTTGTTTCATGTTTTGAAATAAATATGAGCTGAAATGTTTCGTCCAAATTCTTTCTTTTTCATCATTTTGCTTTATATATCGTTTATTTCGTATTAAACATCTTACTCTCTTTCTTTCTGTCTCTTCGTTGCTTGTTTTCATTCTCTAAATATCAATAAAATTATCTTCTCATTTGAATTTCGTTCTTCGTACTAATGTCAAAATCTTTTTATTTTTCCTCTTTTCCATCACAATTCGTCATTCTCTGAAACAATGTGAGAAATATTTTTTTCAATGAGGATTTTTTCACAAAATTCCCTTGATTTTACAAGTGTCAGGATAAATTTCATATTTTGATGTTTGAGTAGAAAAGTTTCGTCAAAATCCTTTCTTCTTCTTGTTTTTCTTCATCTTGATTTATATGTGTTTTATTTCGTATTTTAGATCTTATTCTTGTCTTTTTTCCCTTCTTCAATTCATTTCCTTGAAATTAACAAATTTATCTTCTCAGTTGAATCTCATTCTTCGTAGTAATGTCAAAATTGTATTATTTTTCTTCTTTTTTCTATCAGATTTTGTCATTCTCTGAGAAGTTTGCGAAAAATCGTTTACTAAGGATTTTTTTACAAAGTGTCCTTGCTTTTACAAGCATCAGTGTAAATTTCCTGTTTTGAAATATGAGTTGACATGTTTCGTCAAAATCCTTTCTTCTTCTCCATCTTGCTTTATACATCTTTTATTTTGTATTTTAGATATTATTCTTTTCCTTTTTTTCTCTTCTTCGGATGCTTCCATTGCCTAAAGATTAACAAAATTATCGTCTCAGTTGAATTTCGTTTTTCGTACTAATGTCAAAATCTTATTTTTCCTGTGTTTAGATCAAATACGTTATTCTTCTTAGACATCGTGAGAAAAAATTGTTTATTGAAGACTTTTTCACAAAGTTTCCATGCTTTTACAAGCCTCAGTTTGTTTCATGTTTTGAAATATGAGCTGAAATGTTTCGTCCAAATTCTTTCTTCTTCATCATTTTGCTTTATATATATTTTATTTCGTTTTAAATATCTTACTCTTTTTCTTTCTGTCTCTTCTTCATTTGTTTTCATTCTCTAAATATCAATAAAATTATCTTCTCATTTGAATTTCGTTCTTCGTACTAATGTCAAAATCTTTTTATTTTTCCTCTTCTTCCATCACAATTCGTCATTCTCTGAAACACTGTGAGAAATTTTTTTTAATGAGGATTTTTTCACAAAATTCCGTTGATTTTACAAGTGTCAGGATAAATTTCATGTTTTGAAGTTTGAGTAGAAAAGTTTCGTCAAAATCCTTTCTTCTTCTTGTTTTTCTTGATCTTGATTTATATGTGTTTTATTTAGTATTTTAGATCTTATTCTTGTCTTTTTTTCTCTTCTTCAATTCATCTCCTTGAAATCAACAAATTTATCTTCTCAGTTGAATTTCATTCTTCGTACTAATGTCAAAATTGTATTATTTTTCTTCTTTTTTCTATCAGATTTTGTCATTCTCTGAGAAGTTTGCGAAAAATCGTTTACTAAGGATTTTTTTACAAAGTGTCTTTGCTTTTACAAGCATCAATGTAAATTTCCTGTTTTGAAATATGAGTTGACATGTTTCGTCAAAATCCTTTCTTCTTCTTCATCTTGCTTTATACATCTTTTGTTTTGTATTTTAGATCTTATTCTTTTCCTTTTTTTCTCTTCTTCAGATGCTTCCATTGCCTAAAGATCAATAAAATTATCTTCTCAGTTGAATTTTGTTCTTCGTACTAATGTCAAAATCTTATTTTTCCTGTTTTTAGATCAAATTCGTTATTCTTCTTAGACATCGTGACAAAAAATTGTTTATTGAAGACTTTTTCACAAAGTTTCCATGCTTTGACAAGTCTCAGTTTGTTTCATGTTTTGAAATATGAGCTGAAATGTTTCGTCCAAATTCTTTCTTCTTCATCATTTTGCTTTATATATCTTTTATTTCGTATTAAATATCTTACTCTTTTTCTTTCTGTCTCTTCTTCACTTGTTTTCATTCTCTAAATATCAATAAAATTATCTTCTCATTTGAATTTCGTTCTTCGTACTAATGTCAAAATCTTTTTATTTTTCCTCTTTTTCCATCACAATTCGTCATTCTCTGAAACACTGTGAGAAATTTTTTTTTAATGAGGATTTTTTCACAAAATTCCCTTGATTTTACAGGTGTCAGTATAAATTTCATATTTTGAAGTTTGAGTAGAAAAGTTTCGTCAAAATCTTTTCTTCTTCTTGTTTTTCTTGATCTTGATTTATATGTGTTTTATTTAGTATTTTAGATCTTATTCTTGTCTTTTTTTCTCTTCTTCAATTCATCTCCTTGAAATCAACAAATTTATCTTCTCAGTTGAATTTCATTCTTCGTACTAATGTCAAAATTGTATTATTTTTCTTTTTTTTTCTATCAGATTTCGTCATTCTCTGAGAAGTGTGCGAAAAATCGTTTACTAAGGATTTTTTTACAAAGTGTCTTTGCTTTTACAAGCATCAATGTAAATTTCCTGTTTTGAAATATGAGTTGACATGTTTCGTCAAAATTCTTTCTTCTTCTTCATCTTGCTTTATACATCTTTTATTTTGTATTTTAGATCTTATTCTTTTCCTTTTTTTTCTCTTCTTCAGATGCTTCAATTGCCTAAAGATCAAAAAAATTATCTTCTCAGTTGAATTTCGTTTTCCGTAGTAATGTCAAATTCTTATTTTTTCTGTTTTTAGATCAAATTTGTTATTTTTCTTAGATATTGTGTGAAAAAATTGTACATTGAGGGCCTTTTCATAAAGTTTCCATGCTTTTACAAGCCTCAGTTTAATTTCATGTTTTGAAATATGAGCTGAAATGTTTCGTCCAAATTCTTTCTTCTTCATCATTTTGCTTTATATATCTTTTATTTCGTATTAATATCTTACTCTTTTTCTTTTTTCTCTTCTTCACTTGTTTTCATTCTCTAAAGATCAATAAAATTATCTTCGCATTTGAATTTCGTTCTTCGTACTAATGCCAAAATCTTTTTATTTTTCCTCTTTTTCCATCACAATCCGTCATTCTCTGAGACATTGTGAGAAACAATTTTTTACTGAGGATTTTTTTCACAAAATTCCCTTGATTTTACACGTGTCAGTGTAAATTTCATATTTTGAAGTTTGAGTAGAAAAGCTTCGTCAGAATCCTTCCTACTTCTTCTTCTTCATCTTGATTTGTATGTCTTTTATTTTATGTTTTAGATCTTATTTTTGTCTTTTTTTCTCTTCCTCAATTCATTTCCTAGAAATCAACAAAATTATCTTCTCAGTTGAATTTCATTCTTAGTAGTGATGTCAAAATTTTATTATTTTTCCTCTTTATTTGATCAGATTTCGTTATTCTCTGAGACACTGTTCGAAAAATCGTTTACTAAGGATTTTTTTACAAAGTGTCCTTGCTTTTACAAGCATCAGTGTAAATTTCCTGTTTTGAAATATGAGTTGACATGTTTTGTCAAAATCCTTTCTTCTTCTTTATCTTGCTTTATACATCTTATATTTTGTATTTTAGATTTTATTCTTTTCCTTTTTTTCTCTTCTTCAGATGCTTCCATTGCCTAAAGATCAACAAAATTATCTTCTCAGTTGAATTTCGTTTTTCGTACTAAAATCAAAATCATTTAATTTTTCTTCTTTTTCGATTAAATTCGTTATTTTTCTTAGATATTGTGTGAAAAAATTGTACATTGAGGGCCTTTTCATAAAGTTGCCATGCTTTTACAAGCCTCAGTTTAATTCCATGTTTTGAAATATGAGCTGAAATGTTTCGTCCAAATTCTTTCTTCTACATCATTTTGCTTTATATATCTTTTATTTTGTATTAAATATCTTACTCTTTTTCTTTATGTCTCTTCTTCACTTGTTTTCAGTCTCTA